TAGGTTCGATGTAGTAAAATAGATTACAAATAGATTCTACAGCCTTTAACTTTCTCTGTGAGAGATTAATTTACATGTAATTATAGGCTGACTCCCCCCGCTTTAGCACAAATCAAACAGCACCATTTTTTGTGTCATGTCAACACATAGTATGTCCCTCAAAAGATAAATTAAGAAAAGAAACCCCAAAAACTAGAAAACCGACACAAACCACACTCCCTTTCTCTTTAGGATATCCATCAAACATGTACATTTGTCTTCAGTAATCTCGATTTAAATGCAGTTATATGACATTATAGTCTTCTTTAAATCTTATGACCTCTTCGTTTCAATCGATAAAGCAGCTGTTAAAAAGTCGGAACAACTAAAAATCAAGCATTCAATGATCTATTAAAGGTATGCACAAGGAAACCAAAGTAGCCTATCTACACACACACATTAGCTAAACGAATCCAGGCAGTGAAGTCTCAAAACTGCAATGTTTGAATTCCATCAGCAACAATTCAGTGTCTAAAAATATAGAAATCTGCTTCAATCAAACAGTTAGAATCCAGCTATAATTTACTCAGAGGAACAGCTCAAGAAATACAATATTTCATATAACTCCTTCAAAACACTGTAATTTTGCACGTTATTGAAAATATTTGTCCATTTACGTTGTTTTCTGCTGTCACAGTCTGACTTAAATAACCAGACAAATAAGCTTCAGCTTCTCTATGTCACAAAAACTGAAAGTGGGACAAATGACACGCAAAATATGTTTAAAATTGCATGTCATAAATGTGCAATACCCTCAGAGCCAATTACAACATATCTCAGTGAAAACCTCCGGTTCAAATGGAAAATGTGGAACAAGAACTATAGTCTGAGTGAGCAGAACAGAGTCTTTGAAGCTCTCTCCGCAGTTTAATCAGTTAATATTTAAAGCAGGGTTCTTTACATAAGGCATTTGCATGGTGGGCTGGAACGGGGTGGTTGTTAGAAATGATGGGAAAAGCGAACAAAAACATTGACATAACTCCAACACGTGTAGACATAGCTGCACATTTGGGCCTCAGATTTACACGAATTTGACCATAACCAATTATCTGTGGCCACTTCACATGAACAGAGAATGGTCAAGCTCACATGACGGCTCAGATGTGCTAATGGTGGGTGTTTGATTTACATTACAGTGAGAAGTGAAACACGAAAAACCTGCAACCAGAGACCCGGCAGAAGGCCGTGAGGTGGTGAAAGCACAGCTGTGCACATAAAGCAGAAAGAAGTGGACCGAACATTACAGTTCAATCTGACGAATCCCCATTGGGATCACACAAAGCAAACAGTCGCATACTTTTTGTGGTGCCGTGAAACAAAGCATTTCCTCTGTTTCCACTTAAGACTGAGACATACATTTGATGCCATTGGGGGGAATCTGTGGACAGAGAATTGCTAAATGTGAACACTCAATGCATTTCAATTCAGATTCAAACTCAAAGGGGCAGAGGGGCTCTTGTTGAATAAGGGATTTTTTTTTCTCTACTTTTGAGATAAATCAGTTTGTCAGTCAACAAATTAGATTTCTGAAAACGGTGGAGAGCAAATGAGGCCTCTTGTGCAGTTGCTTTTCAGTTCCACTGGATTTGGAAGTTAAATTGTTTGCCAAAATCCTCAGAGACGCGAGGGGGAGTGACACAGAATTTGGAGATGGGTCTGTTTCTCATGACAGCGTAAATCCTGTAGAAAAGTCTTCCGCTGATTCGAATAAAGCATCTCCAGCTAGTTAATTTGCCTCCTCTTTTTCCAGTCCTCCATTATCCGAACACTTGCACAGAACCAGTCAGCTGGTAATTGCTTTGATTATGAACAACGCGATTCCTCGTGTTTCTAGGTAGAGAAGACACCTCCGAGGGAAAATAATTCAAGGTGTGAGCTTGTCTGCCAGACTAAACAGCTTTCCTTGTGGCCACCTCTGCCTGTCTTCTCCACTCAGATGCAGAAAGAAACAGAATTAATGGGGCACTCAAATCAACATGAGAGAAAATGGGACAGCGCTCAGAAGTGACACCATTTGCATACACTGAGTGGGGATGAAATATACATTAGAGATGTGAACTTGTGCCACAGTATTAAGTGGCACAATGAAAAGTAAAACGCCCCATCTTCTTTATCCAATTCTAAATCTAAAGAAAAATATGCTAAGCGTCCGCATCAAAGGAGGAAAAGCCACTGTTCTATTTGTAGATTGATAACCAATTCGTCTCCTAACTTAAGATTTAATTTGACTTCTTTGATTTTTTAGAGGAACCTGCAGTCCAAAATGAATATATGTCAACTATCCTCATACCATTTGAACATCATACCTGTGCTTTCTGATGCAAAGGCAAAGGGCAAGTGTTTATCTGATAGATTCAATTCTTGTATCACTTGTAAAAAAATAAATAAAAACAACTTATGGGACCTTAACCTTGCTCTTTTTTTTTCATTTCAGGAAAATAAATCTTCACGAATTAGAAATTTGGGAAGCTTCTCTTGTAATTGGTTGACAATTCATATCAGAGAAAAAAAGGTGAAGGGGAATTATTTCAATTTTCCACATTTGTTTGTTAAAAAGAAAAAAATAGGTTAATTTGCTCAAAAAGCTAACCACATATTAGCATGACCTTAAAAATGAGAGGGTGGACAAACCACTACGACATTTGTGGCTCCAGGATACATGGCCAAGTTATGGGTTTGCCATTATTCCATATAGGAGTTGTATATTTTTCATCAGTGGCACTCCTCTTTAACAGAGACTGAGTGAAGCCAAGGACCTATTCAAGGAATATCCCACTGAATCTCACAGAATCTTTACATCCACAAGGTTTGACAGGTTTTCTTCTGTGGCCAACTGCTTGGAGGACTTAAATGACAGCAAATGTGTTTAAACTTTCTCTGACACACTATCAGAAATACCAACAGTAAATGGGAAAAAAAGCACACAACCATAAAACCTTTGAAATACTTGCAGTCACCTTGGAGTAATGTTTTTGATTAAAAAAAGAAGTTAAATGCTGCAAATATGAAGAAAATCTCACACATATCACTAAAGCTATCCACCATTTCAGGAAACAAAAGGGCTCTCTGGCTGTTATTGTGGCCATGCTGCATGATCTCCACCCAATGACATGGATAATAAGAAGAAATCTTGCAAAATGGAAACTTTTTATTTTCAAAAAAGCAACAGATTACACAGTTAACTTTCAGCAAATGCAATCCTAACTGAAACTGTACTCACATTCGGGACTTCAAAATGAAAGACTCACATACTTACACACAATCTATCTATAATATACAAAAATGAATACATAATAAATATTAAAATGGCCACAAGAGAAAAAAGTAAGTCATTGAAAACAATCAGAGAGCAAATGTAGGGAAAAGTAGAAACAAGACGGTGTGCCTTAAATGTCTCCTTTTAAAAAAAAAAATCATTTTACATTTTTTACAAATTGTGCAAGATTTTCATACTAAGGCTCTGGTCTTGAAGTGACTGTTGTCTGGTTCATACGCACACACACACACACACACACACACGCGCGCGCACACACACACACGCACCCGGTGAAACACGCGCCCGTGCAGCTAACACACACACTCCCTGTGCTCTGCGCACTCTGTGGGGTGTAGCAAACCATTGCAGAGTAAAAATGGGGCTGCTCAGTGTTGCCTGTGATGTTCATGGGAGTGAACCAGCTTTTAAAAAAAAAAAAATGGACATGCATTTCACGCTGACGTGAGAAAGAAAAAAAAACCCTCCCCTCGCGTCTAAAGAAAGAGAAAGATTCCTTTTTTTCTTGGAGTTGATGGAGAAAAAAAACATAAACAAAAACAACCAAGAACATGACAATATCATAACCATTAAGGCAAGAACACCCGGAGTGGCATCAGCAATACTGTAACAATGTGATAGTGTTTAGGTACATGGATATGATGAAACACTTAACTACTTCTTCAGTCTTTTTTCTTTTTTTTTTTTTAGCACAAATGTCTTCAAAATCAACGTTTTTTTTTTTTTTCAAATCTGTCGATCGCTAAAATCTTTTTCCCTTCTTTTTCTCTTTTTTTTTTCTTCAAAAAAGGTCTTAAGAAAAAAACAATGCCAGACACTAGGGACGTATGAATCGTAAAACTACGAGAAAAGGAATTTCCAGTTTCAAGTTGCAAAACCGCTCGTTGTAAATCCCCATCAATAAGCCCCCGTCCGGTAAATGAAAAAGATATCACTTACATTATAACCATTTTATCCTCCTGTGATGGTGCATCCCAACAGTCACCAAGTTTTGCCTTACTTACAGCGATTGTGTAGTCTGTTGCAAATTAAAGCATTCATTGTTTAGTTTGGGAAAAAGAAAAAAAGTTGTCCTTGCAATGCAGTTGGCAACCGTCGACCCCTCGGAAAAAAAAGCATCTTTACATCTTCTTTTTAGTGCAACTCTTAGAATGTAAAACATTTCCAGTGATTCCTTGAGAGGTATCGTTTCTTTGTTTTATGTTCTTTTTTTTTCTTTTTTTTTTCACATGTAAGTATTTCACACATCACAGAGTAACGCATCTTCAAAATATCCAAAGCAAGAGGTTTTCTTTTCAGTGTTTAGTCTTTTTTTTTCTTCTTTTTTTTCTTTTTTGTTTTTTTCACTTTTTGCTTCTCTGCATTGGCATGGCCTTTCCGTGAAGTCTGTTTACTAAAACATAAACACAGGAGAGAATCCAGACCTCCTGCACATCCCCGCGTTTGACAGACCTTTCCTGCTCAATCGACCCCGGCGGAGCCACGTGATTGGCCGTCCAACCTTCTGCCTCCCAGAAGACGGCTTAGAAGGAGCGGGAGAAAAAACCGGAGGATGAGGAGGGAGGACGAAGCAACAGAGAGTGCGCTGTACAACTGGAACGGCTCCAGATCAAGATCAATCAGGGTAATGAGACATAGTCGAGGGGGAGAAGAAGAAGAAGAAAAAAAAAAAGAAACGCGAAAACCTTCATATAACACAGTAGGGTTCCCGTGGTAACCTGGATTTTCTGCAGTAGAGGAGGGTGGTGCTGAAGCAGCGCCGCAGCTCCCGGTTGGAGAAGATGCAGATGAAGGGGTTGACCCCGGCCTGGGCAAAGCTCATCCACACGGCGGCCGTCAGGTAGCCCCCGGGGACCACGGGCCCCCTGGCGAACACCCGCCAGTAGCAGGCCACCAGGTAGGGCCCCCACAGGGCCAGGAAGAAAAAGGTCATGATGTAGAACATGCGGCTGATCCTCTTCTCGGTTTTGAACTCGTCCAGCACCAGGAGGCGCCGGCGGCCCGCCGCGTTGCTGTTCTGCCGGATGCCCAGCAGGGTGGGGGGGGTGGGGCCCCGCCCGAACCCGGCCAGCCAGTTGGCGGCCGCCTGCCCGCTGGCGCCGGGCCCGTGGAAGGTCCAGTTCTGGCTGACGGCCGGCACGAACTGGACGGGCTTCATCTTCCGCCGGTCGTGCACGAAGAAGATGAGCTTGAGGTAAACCAGCTGCGTGGCCAGGAGGATGAGCGCCAGCAGGAGCATGAAGCCCAGCGAGTCGTTGGCCCGGAAGGAGCGGTGCTGGAAGGTGCACTGGTCCTCCTCGCGGATGAACGAGTACGTGCCCACGTCCAGCACCGGCGGGAAGGCCATGGCCACCGACAGCGTCCACACCATGCAGATGACGGCCAGGCAGGTCCAGAAGGTCAGCCGCTTGGTGTAGAAGCGGTGGTGCGCGATGGCCAGGTAGCGCGTGACGCTGACGCAGAACAGCATGAACGCCGTGTGGAAACAGGAGAGCACGCCCAGGAAGGCGATGACTTTGCAGGTCAGCGTGCCGTAGGTCCAGGCCGAGCCATTCTTGACCGAGGTGAAGACGAAGGGGAAGCAGATGGCCGAGCGCAGGATGTCCGAGGCGCACAGGTCCAGCAGGAAATAGTAGGGCGCCCGGTGCAGGCTCTTGTCTTTGACCAGCAGGATAGAGATCAGGAGGTTCCCGACCACGCCGACGCCGATGATGAATCCTAGCGAGGTCAGTTTGAGGAAGGTGGCGAGAGGAGAGACATTCTGCAAGATGGTGTGGTCCCCTGCATGGCTATAGTTCGCCATAGATGGAGGAGGGATCATAAAGATAGCGGAACAGCTTCACCCGAGTATCATGATCTAGAGGTGGCAGGGGCAGGCGATAGATCCATTTGGCGCTGTGCTTTGAAGAGGCGTCCAGGCATACAGGCAACCTCTCCTCTAAGGCATCCTTTGTTCCTTTGTCTCATCACACCTACAAAAAACAGAAACAAATAAAAACAAACAAAAAAACCCCCTGAATTTCGTCGCTCTTTAGAGGCAAGTGCAAGACAAAGCTCCTTGTTTGCAGAATGCAGAACGAGGGGAGCAGCCAGTGTGCTCGGGATTTCTTTAAATTGATCTTTTGTTCCACATTCGCAACATCTGGAGCCCCCCCTCTGGCTGAATAATCTGTGTAAAGACGCGGAATTTGAGTTTGATTGCTCTACATCATTAATCCCTGCGAGCGACAGAGATGTTCTCATGTTGTCTCGGAATTTCCTGAGCGAAAAGCACCAAGACGGCGACAGCTCAGCCCTGCCTTTATCAATAAACGACCAATTTTTTTTTCCCCCCTACGCGTTTGGAAGAAGAGAGTTCCACATCTGTCGGGGTTTGAACTAGAATTTGTCATTTTTCTCTTCCCTCGGAGCTGGGGTATGTTCTGGGGGAGGGAGGGAGGGGGGGGACCTTTGTGAAACACAAAGACGAATGCAGACCAAAAATAAGCTCATCTTGATCACTGCTAAAGCCTACACCCTGCAGAACAGAGGAAGCCCCTATAAGTCGGTGGACGCCTCGAATTCGCTCCCCCCTGCTTTTACGCAAAAAAACAAAAAATCAACTGAGGCTGAATTTCCAATAAAGCATCGTGTGTTTCACTGATTAAACCTTAAGTGGATTACGGGTTCCTTATCAGTCGTGTTTTCTTTTTTTTTTTTTACAAGGATGTCTGTTGAGACAGCTCCCATTTTCCACAGCATCTTAATACTTAGACACTTAACAAAATAACGAGCTTGTGACATAAACCGCTTTTTTTTTTGCGTAAAATGACTGTCATCCGGACGGATCGACAAGAAAGCCAAACGTCAATAATAAGTAATCTGGTGCAATATCACGTATGTTCTTACAGTCAACATTTCTAAAGGATTGCTCCATATCTATGTGTGATATCGTCAACAACGGCGTCTGTGACTACTTACGCGTTCGAAAGCCTCCTCGTTATGTTTAAATCCGGAAAAAATCGGCAAACAAACGCAACAGAGACAGAATCGCTCCTTTCTCCCACTCGACTGGAAGAAGCACAACACTGTAGCGGATCCGCACATCCATTAGACTAGTGTAATTTCCAAGTCTCCGCGATGAATCGCCCAGAATCGCCGCTACCACGTAAGACAAGGCCAAAAGATGGAAATCATAAAAGAGGAGAGAAGCGGCCGATCTATCGATCAAAAGCCTACCTGTTGATAATCCAATTTCGTGTCCCTCCTGTCGGTTATTTACATTGCACGGGTCGTGTTTTTTGCTGTTTTAAAAAGCCCGATTTGGTGCCTGCCCCCTTTTTTCCTCTACGGTGAATATCCTACAGTAAACGGAGCGCACTGCGCACGCGCCCTGCATCCCCCCTATTTGTGATCCAAGACGCGTCTTGTCTCTTGTTGCAGCAGCAGCATCAGCAGCAGCAACTCCGTCTCTGACAGCAACATCTGCTCAACGGGGCCACTGCTGGCCGGTAACGCGTTACTACAGCACACACACACACACACACACACACAGGACTAATTACTCTGCACACATGAGCCCCAGCGTGGCTGACAGACACATTCATTTATTATCATGGTCCCGTCAGTTTGCATTTATCCATTAATCTCGGAATCTCTGAGATATTTAAGATGTCTGAAAATTGTCATTTTTGGTTAAACCGTCGGTAGATTTTGGTCAAAGTTGTTGGAGGGAAAAAAAAAAACTTTGCCCGAGGCGATTTAGTTTTAAATTCCCTTTTTTTTTAAAGCGAGGGGTTAAACCGGGCTCCAAAGCGACCCGGTAATGTAGGCTGTGTTCATAATTGACGAGCACTTTGCACTCTGCTGTGCATTTTCTTCTGCTCAGCGTGATGAATTCATTGGATCTGATCTCTCAGCCATGGATGGCGAGCTGTGATGTCACGAGCCGTGTGGCCAGAGAGTAGAGATTAGGTCAAATACAGGCAGGTGTTGGAGAGTGGACGAATGGGGGGTGGGGGTGGTCATGGTTTGTGCCCGACCAGGCAACGGGCAGCCAAAGGCGTGGGCCTCACCGGGACGTCTGACACAAAGACGGGAGTGTTGTGCGGACACTTTTGGGATAAGAAAAGTTTAATCAATACACTCCCAAAGCTTCCTTGACTTCAGGCTGGCGTTTTGTGTTTGTTTTCAGATTTCGGCCTTTAGAATGTGAGCATTTGTTGCCTGTGTTTGTATTTTGGAACAGTGAGGAAAGACCTTTGGGTTTTTTTGGTTTTATTTACATAAAAACAAATGTAACATTTCTAAACTACTTGAAATTGAGTGAACAGCGAGGCTGAACTACTACAGAAAGCAGTCCGCTCCAGCCGGGGGGGCCTCGTTGCCCAAACACGACCCCCCCCGACCCCTGTTTGGTTTTAAAGCAAAGTCCACTTCTTCAGGATGAGTCAGTAATCCGGCTCGGCCAGACCAAAGATAGTGCTGCAACGCATCAATCAAATATAAGGAGGAATCAATTTATTCAAGGTTTTACAACATATCTCGCAAAGGAAAGTGCAGTCATGTGATACTGTGCTTCAAACATTGCAATCTGGACTGGAAAAGCACACACCAGGCAGTCACAGTGATCACGTAAAGCGGAGGAGGGTCGGCAGAGTTTCCAGGAAGTAGCGGCCTCATTCACATCTGCAGCAGTCCCTTTTTATGAAGGCAGCGGGCTTTGGTCCATGATCAGCTCAGCCTGCAGCACACAACGCTTCCTGTTTCCGGAACTCCCGTGGGGCTTTCTTACTTCCGGGTTCTCGCGGTTTCCCCTCGCTCAGTATGGCGCGTAAATCCCGGTAAGGCACGTTCTTCAACACAGTCCCCGCGCCACGAAAGCCCGAAAAGGGAGACCCGAAAATGAAGCTGCAGTCCAGTGCATGTTGACGGGGGGAGACGCACGACGAGGGGGGGGAGGCGGGGGGGGAGGAAGGGGGAAGACGTGAGCTCCCACCGTCACGGAAGCCCGTTCCGCTTCCGTGCGTACCAGCCCAGGCACGCGCAGAAACCCACCATGGTCAGCACGGTGCCCAGCAGCAGGGCCAGTGCGTCGCCCGCGTCGTAGGCCTCCGCCGGGCCCACCAGCGCGGACACGGCCAGCCACACGGCCAGCGCCCGCTCGGCTTTGGGAGCCATGTTGAGCCTTCTCCGCGGTCGCTGTTGACTTTCGGGAAGCCGGAGCGCGACGCGCATGCGCCCAAAGGCGGATGACGGGCGGGACTTCCGGCTGCGCCCAGCCAATGGCGCGCAGACGTCGACGTGACGTGTCCGTTTGCGGAAGAGGAAAAAAGGTCAATAGATCCCGGACTTTATTCCGCTCTGAGGGGATTTCTGACGCCTCTCTCGTCGGGCAGCTTATCCTGTCAGTCCTTCGTGCACCTGCCATAAACAAACCTGACTTTTATCACTCCACTGCCCCCATCCGAATTAATATCCTCTGATGGCATACATGTAGATTTATGAGGACTTTAGGAGTCATGGCCACAGCACAGCTGATTTCCACCGTGTGTGTTTTACATGTTTTCCTCCTCCAGCACATTCAAATGAATAGATCACCTCTTTGGATTCTCCTTTTAGGCCTTTGGGTTCTTTACCTCACCATGCAACCCCTACACAGGTTACCCAATCTTGGATTTGGGCAGAAAGCTGATCCATCTGAATTTGAATACAGTTGAAATCTGTTGGATTAATACCACTGTGGGATCAATAAAGTATTCTATTCTATTAAATCATAGTCATCTTACATAGGCACATTCTGCTCCTGATGGCATCCCAAACTGGCCTTTTTAAATGAAAGAAAGACTGAACTGTGTTGAATAATATCCAGAAGACAATCATATACAATAAAAACAAATTGGTGTGTATGGGGATAACGTTTGCCATGACAGTTACCCAAAGCTCTGAAATAATAAGGACAGTAGCTTATGTGTCATTGTAGACTGACCCCCCCTGACCATGTGAGACATCCAGAAGTCCTTAAAAATAACCCGTTTTGTCATGACAAAAGTTGCCAGCATCTTCCTCCACGCTACAAATAGTTTGGCAGCGGCGGTATCTCTCTCTCTGCCGGGGCGCTCTCCCTGTAATTAAATTAGAGAGCACGAGCCAAAGTAAAATATTGACCTTGTGAGGCAGCCGCTCCTCTGTACCTGCCTGCAATGAGCAAGGAGATGAATAGACGCACGCGGTCCGCCCGCTGTGCCAGCTTCACAGTCACGCGCTCCCTGACGTGTTCCTGCTGTCACC